AGCCACACGTGGAGGAGGTTCTGTTAGTTCCAGTTACCCATAGAAAAGTGTCTTTATAAATAACATCATGCAGCTGCAGTCGGCCCAAGCTGATGCTGTGTCGCGGCAGGTCCGTGCGTGAGCCGGTCCTCGTCCATCAGCATCCCACGGCGTGGAAAAGGAACGGCTCCTCCTCTGCTTCCTCCCAGCTGGCGTGGGCAGCGCAGGGCCCAGTGGAGTCCATCCCTTCAAGGCTGCTTGTCCCAAGAGGGCCCGTGCGTGGGGCTGTGCCGCACGGGGAGGAGGTCGTAGTGCCCGGGAATGTGGCTGTTCCTGGGAAGGTCGTACGGGTTCTGCAGGTAACTGGCACTCCGGCTGCGGCCGTCTTGGACTATGCTGACAGTGGGCTCTGAAAGGAAAACTGGGTTATGGCAACCAGCAGCGCTCCCAAAACCAGTGACTGTCCAAGCACAGGACATGGGCCTCCCAAACCACCTCACCCCCTCCAGGCAGCACAGGAGGCAGCAGGTGGGGCAGAGCAGAGAGGAAATCACGCAACAGGACACAGGGAAGGGCTGGAGCTGTGTCAGGAGAGGGTTAGGCTGGGTATCAGGTAAAGGTCCTTCCCCCAGAGGGTGGTGGGCACTAAACCGGCTCCCCAGGGCAGTGGGCACGGCCCCAAGAGCTCCGGGAGGGTTTGGACAACGCTCTGAGGGACAGGGTGGGATTGTTGAGGTGTTCTGTGCAGGGCCAGGAGTTGGACTCGATGATCCCTGTGAGTCCCCCTTTCAGCTCTTAGCTCCCCAAATCAACACCCCAGTGCTCAGGCCTTCCCCCCCCTGCCAGTGTCTCCCTGCCCTGTGCCAATTCCAGCTCCTTGTGCCAGGAAAAGCAGCCTCTACACTGATCCCCACCCCAGCTGCTGGAGCAGCCCCCGTGCCACCCACTGCTCACCAACTTCGTAGATGTTTTTATTGGCTGTGGATGAAGTTGGCATTTCGGAATAGGGGGACTCCCTGTGCCCAGGCGATTTCATTTCCACGTAGCTGCTCTCGGAGTGTTTGCAGGTTAAAATGGGGGGGTCTTTGATGGTGGCATAGGGGTTTTCACTGCTGTTCAGGGAACAAGTGCTGGAGCTGCACACGGACTCCTTCATATAATCTGCAAAACAAGAGCGGGGTGGGAGCGTCAGGGTCATTAGCTTCACTCAGGTAATTACAACTGAGCCTCTGCAGGAAGGCTGGGGGTGACAAGGGGACAGGGGGGAAGGAGGATCCTCGACGCATCCAGCACAGACACCCGGCGCTTGTGCTCTGGGTGCTCCAGACCATTGCATCCACAACTCACTGGCAGGAAAGAAACAAAAACCTGCTCAGCACCGAAGGTTTTGCTGTAAAAGGCCCTAGCTGTCGTTTACTGCCAATCTTTAATTTGAGGTGGCAACGCCTTCCCTCCCTGCCCTAATTCCCAAGGAGCCGTGTTGTTTAACCCCGCACGGGACCACGAGTGGGCTCTGCAGGCAGGACCCTCTGCTGGGGCTGGGGCTGCTGGGCCAGCTGCTGGGTGAGTGTCCCGGGGCTTTGGGCACATCCAAGGCCCTGTGTTGGAATGCTCAGCTTTGCCACAGGCTCAGAACTGCAGCCTTGGCGTGTGTGGCCCCCTGAGAGCGCCGGCTTCGGGGTTTTATCCAGCATCCTGCAAGCTGGAACACTTGGGTTTCCACAGGGAGGGGGACAATCCTCTGTCTGAGCCTCACTCCTGCTCTGCTTTTCCCCCCTCATTGCTGCAAACATCTCCTGCTCCTCTCCCCTGGGCTGGAGAGGAGGAGACGGTGACGGAGGCGCTACGTGGGGGGAACGAGGTTGGCGTGAGAGCTGCGACCACCGGTTGGTGACCCTGGCTGGGCTGTGCCAGCCCTCAGCAAGGTACAGTGCCAGTCTTACTTCAAAAAAAAAAAAAAAAAAAAAAAAAAAAAAAAAAAAAAAAAAAAAAAAAAAAAAAAAAAAAAAAAAAAAAAAAAAAATAGAGAATAAATAAGTCTTAACATTGACAGTCAAGAACGTGCCATTGCTGCCGTGTGCATCCTGCTGGGCAGTGCCAGTAATTTAGAATTAGAGCGATGCAATGAAAGATGAGGCATTTTCTTGTGCTGGGTTACAGTACAAAGGCAGATCCTGGTATATATGAAATACTCCCGGTGAAATAGTGGGACTTGCAAAATAGCTGCAATCCCAGCTGCCCCCGCTGTCTAGTATGGGAGACAAAAAGAGAAATTCAGGTTAAGAAATGACAGACAACACGACACCGCTCCTCCCTTACAAACCTCGTCTCCGAGCCCCATCCTGCTCCCTCGCTCGCCGGGTTTGCTCCACTGGGTGTGATTCTCCCTCCACCAGCTCTGGGGTTGTGTCTGTGTGTCCATCACCCCCTGGGCCTGGTGCCCCTGGCCTGGATTCAGCCCTGAGGGAGGTGCCAGGTCGTGCCCTGCCACCTGCACAAGGAGTCGCCTTTCTGGCCTCCCTGGTTTCAGGGACACGGCAAGTGTGGAGAGCCCTGAGCTCTGAGGGGCAGTGACAGCAGCTCCTCTGCAAACAAACCAGCAGCAGGGGCTGGACCGTGCGGGGTGGGAGGCTGGCAGAGGCTCTGGCACCACTGCAATGGTAATTGAGCTATAAAATCAAGAACCTCCTCGTCTGACTCCAGCCTGGGGGGGATCAGCAGTGCCTTTGCTTCCACGTGAAACATGCCTGGTGTGGGACATCCCAGCAGATGGGAACCAGGGAACACCGACATTCCCTGGCTGTTGGACACAGGGTTTGGCCCTCCAGCTTCACCAACCCCATCCCAGTACAAGTCAGGGGAAAACTGCCCCATCCCATCCTTCCACAGGGCGATGGAGCAACTCTGGGAGAGCAAAGGCTCCTGCACATGAGTGAGCTCAGTGTTGTTGGCCTTTGTTCTCTGTGTGTGACTTAAACTCAGGTGCCAGAGCCTGGGATCTGTTGGTGTGAGAGGTGAGGAGACCATGGACAAAGACTTAACAAATGAATTAATCAATTAATCAAAATCCTTGGAGTGAAAAGACCTATTTGGACTGGGCCCCAGTCTTCAGTCACCGGGAGGGTTGTGCAGGAGTGAGCTCTCTCACGTGGACAAGGAGCCGGAGTGGGAGCACTCACTGCTTGAGGGGCATGGCTGGATGAGGAGGGACTCATTCCTGAGGCTTTCATTCCATTCTCAGCCAAAGAAAAGCTCAGCTCTACCTGGCAGCGAGTTACAGTTCCTGGTCCTACTGCAGGTCTGTGGTGCTTGTTAGGAGAGCCTGGGCAGCCTGCAATGAGCCAGCTCTACATTTTGGGGCGAGATAGGGAGATTATGACAAACTTCCCTCCCTGCCTCAAGCTGTGCTGCTGAGCAACATTTTCTGGGGTAGAAAAGGCAGGATCCTCCTCGTGCCCTGAGCGTCACTACAGAGCATTCCCTGTCGGCACCATGGCTGGGAGGGAACAAATCACACCCGAGCAGGGCTTAGAATAATAAAATAACAATTATAAAGGACTACTGGCTACTACAGCAAAAAAGGGCCAAGGGGAAATGCTGCTCCTGCAGAGCTGTGCTGGGTCAGTGCTGGTTTGTTGATGGAATTGGGCACATTGGAGCTGGCACAGGCGAAAATCCCAGCACATCAGCTATTTTATTGAGCCCAGCTCAGCTACTTTTACCCTTCCTAAGCCCAAATTCACCTGCCCTGCTGCCAGGGCTGGCACCCCTCTCCAGGCAGGTGTCCCTCAGCACCAGCCCTGCCCTTCCCAGGCCCTGCTGGGAGACACCAAACACCGCTGGGGCTGCCCAGACTTGTTTGGCCTCTCCCAGGAGCTGCCTTTACCCCACAAGATATTGGGAAACAACGTGCCCAGGAGCTGATTCCCTCTGACGTAAATGGGAGCTCCAGGATCAGCCCTTCACTCTGGATACCATAAATCTATTTTATGGAGCACCAGCCTTTTTTTGGGAACGTGCTGCACACCAGGGAGTCATTAGCCCACCAGAAACACTCTGTGCAGGATCACGGAGAATTTAAGGGATGGAGAAGCAGCTGAGTTGCTTTGTTATTAAGGTAATTTGGGGGATAATTAAGCAGTCTGGCATCGATTGTCAGATTTCGTTTTGTGAATTAATTTAACCAGGACAAGGGTGTTTAGAAATTCTCAGCCCCTGGTGCTGCAGGCCCTGTGTGAGCTCTGGCCACGCTGCCTCCTCATCCTCCCCGTACCCACAGGGAGCTCTGGTGGAGGTGGAAGCTCAGCTCGAGCCGTGGCACTGTCACCACAGTGCTGGGACTCACTGGAAGCACTGGCTCAGCTGGACTTCCAGAGAAATACGGGGAATATGCTCTAATTTTGCAGTCCCTTCCTTCTGTGTTGCCTGGATACCAATCTCCAGACCTTTGGAGGGTTTATTTTTGTTAGCAGGGACTGGAAATGTCCCCTCCCACAGACTGGGTTCCTCTCTTTCGCCCTGAATTTCCCCTGGCATCCTAATGACAAGCCTTGGAACCTCCTGCCCCGCTGGAAGTGCTGAGGAAGGTGCTGCACACAGGCAGAACGTGCTGTTCCTGCTAGTTAACCCCTTTGGGATGCCATGCCTTGCTGGCTGCTGTCCCTGTCCTGCCCAGCCCTGGCTGCTGCAGGGACAGGAACACAGCCAGGGCTCAGTGCAGCTCCCCAGAGTGACACAGGAGTGGGGACACATCCTGCACAAACCCCAGATGAACCAGGCTGAATGGGATCAGTGCTTCCAGCTCCAGGGGTTTGTTTTCCTGGCTGTTGTGCAAAGGGTAGGTTTATTTTCCTTGAGGTGTTACTGCCTTGAGGTCACCTTATTCCACCAGTGCATCAGCACTCATTTAAAAAACTACTTCTAAAAAATAGGGAAGGACTCAGCTGCAAGGGAAAGCTTGGAAATGGTATCACTGAGCACCATGCAGAGGAAAGAAACTGCTCAGAAACCTGCTCTGGAAATCTCCTGACTGTCCAGCCCCTGTCACCAGGTGCCACCAGTGTGGCACCCAGCCCTCCCTGCCCCAAGGGCTCCTGCTGCTGTCAGACACTGGGAGCGACCCTGGCAGACCCAAACCTCTGTGCCTGCCCCCCTGCCCCTCCCCTGGCAGCATTCCTTGTGCCAGGCTGCCCAGGAACAGCCCTCTCCTGGTGTCCTGCTCTGGGCCAGCCCCGAGGGGAACAGGCTCTGGTGTCCTCCCAGACCTGGGGAAGGGGGTGCTGGACCAGGATCAGAACAGCCTGAGCTCAGCCCCAGCCCCTGTGCCCCCTCCAGGGCTCTGAGCTGGTCCAGGGGCACCAAACGCCACTTCCAGCTGCAGGATAAACTTTCCCCAGTTGGACCACCCTGGTGGGAGAAGAGTGGATGAAAGCAGATGGAAACTAAGCCCCCACCCGCCAAGTCCTTCTGCTGACAGGATCCAACTGGCTGGGACTGGGAGTTGCTTTCTCTCCATCTTTGGGAGGAATTTGGGGAGTCAGGGCTAACTCTGCGCCTGGCAGGGCAGGAAGAGCTGCAAGCTGAGCATGGGGCACATTCCCAGCTCCTTTGGGGAGGAATTCCCCCAGGGCTGGGGGTGTCCCAGGGCAGCTGAGCAGCACAAAGAACACCCCAGCTGTCCTGACGTGGTTTCTGGGCCTGATTTCTCCATTTATCAGGAGATGAACGTGTAAAAGAAACGGTTCAGATCCTAAATAATAAGCAAAATATGTAGGAACAGAAAATACATTTTCACAGTTCCCTGTCCCTGGGATTCTTTTTCCTCTGTTCCCGCTGGTTCCCCTCTGTGTGACTGTGCCTGTGGATGGGAGCTCCTGCTGCATGTGTTTCAAGCAGCTTTTAAACCTTGTAAACACAGCAATTTACTAGAAACTAATGAAGCTAATGGTTCCATGTAAAGAGAACAGCTAGCTGTATTGCAGTAAAATTTTTCTTCTGAAAAAGAGAATCACTGAAGTAGCAGTGGATTGAGTATAATATATATCATATATGTACATAACCCTTTTAATATTTTAATTTTAGCTTTACTAAGAAAGACTGGGTTATGGATTATTGCTTTCCTTCTGTGTTTCTGTGCAGTAAGGTGAATTTTTAGCAAATATTGCACCACTGTGTTTTGAAAACGGCAGCTACAAAGAGATTATTGATCTCTAGGCCTGGCTACAGGCTGGTCACTGCTTTGTGTGAGGAACAGCTTTTGATATTCCTGGTTAGTTCAGACAAAGGTGTGGCCCTGGAGCAGCTCAGGGGTGTCTGGCACCCAGCTGTGTGTGAGGGCACCACTGTCCCTGTGACTCAGCCAGCAGCAGCTCCAGGACACTGCTGTGCTATTTCCCTCCCTGGCTGATGGAGGGACATTCCCAGGCATGAACAGACACAACAGCCCTGGATTCACATCAAGGACCTGGAGCCTGAAACCTGCCTATTCCCCACAGACAGATTCCTTGCTCCACCTTCTGGAGTTCAAGTTCCCTGTGCTGAAGCCCAGCCCAACCTGTCAGGAGCTCTGGGAACCACTCTGCCAAGTGCTCCATGTCCAGCCATCACTGGAATGTTTGGAATGTAAACCTGGGGGACAAGTGAAATGTCAAACCAGCTGTGCTCAGGACTCATCCCTGATCCCTTTTTAGAGCTGCCCTGGAGCCAGTGCCCGTAAATTCTCCTGCCATGTGAGGGGTCAGTGACCTCAGGGAGGGCTCTGCTCCAACCCCCTCTCAGCAAAGGGCACGAGGCAGGGGCAGCTCATCTTCTGGGGGCTCTGCTCGAACTCAGGATGGCCAAGAGCAGGGGAACACCCCGGTCTGTCCTCAGCAGCTGCCACCACATCCCTGGGGGTGGCCAGTGGGTCCTACAGGAGCGTCCCCTGCCCAGCCAGCTCCACCTGCCCCTCCTGCCCTGCAGCTGAGCCCTCCCTTTTGCCCTGTGCTGCTGTGCCAGGCAGGAGCCTGTGGCCCTGGCAAGCCCTAATCCAGAACTCCTGGCCCCAGGAGTGCTGCCAGCAGGGTCGTGGCTCTGTCCCTCCCTGCCTGCCCCGGCCACTGTCCCAGGTGCTCCTATCTCACCTCTTCTAGGGCACCCTCCTCACACCTGGCAGGGTTCTGCAGCACTGGATACCATACCTTTGAAGCTTTTTTCCATTATGTATGTGTTCTGACGTCTATCCATCCCACAAGCACCTGCATAAAAATGATATATAACGGAAAACAAATAAATATTGATGTAAATTGGATCGCTTTGACTGCTGAGCAGCATAATATTCCTCCCCCTGAACTGTACATCGAGGCCCTCATTTAGGCAGGCTCTTAAGCACGTCCTCAGCTGTGAGCACACCCTCAGCTTCAGTGGGGAGCCTGTGCCTGCCGAGAATTCTGCGTGTGCTCAAGAGCTTCCCTGAAGGGAGGGCTTTCCTGCAGCAGGGCTACCAGAACAGCCATCCATCAGGAGATCAGGAAAAAAAATCATCTGCTGGTACGTTCAGGACTGAAACACTGGCTTGGATTAGGGAAAGAAGCCTGAAACGTGTCCTTTCCCACCCGAGTCTGCAGGTTGTGTTGCATCACCCTGTGACGTGTTTTAGGCTTTGTTTTGTTGGTGGACAGTGGGTTATTTGGCTCACAGCCTTAGGTCTGAGGTGCTCACAATCTGCTTGAATTACCCACTATAAATTTGCACGGTTCAGTAACTGATGTGACAACAGTCCCTGAGTGTCCCCTGTGGTCTGACAGTGCAGAGAGCTGACAGCAACACCTGTGGCTCCACAGGAACTTGCTGTTCCTCATGGAAGCGGAGACAGAAGGGGATGGGAACCTCTTCCATTTCCACTGCTGCAGATTGCCCTCGATATCAATCAAGAGGCAAATCTAATGCAAGCCTTTAAATCTCTTTAACTATGGAGTCTGGTATTCCTTATTGACTGGGAAAATCAATGCAGATTTGGTTACTGAGCAATGTCTCCGTGGCTTTTGGGATTCCCAGTCAAGTAACTCGGTTAGGCTGGGAAAAGAGCCCTGCAAACTGTGTCCCAGAGGCTTCCCAGCTGTTTGTCCTTGAGTGTCCTCTGGTCTCTCTGCAGAAAAGTTGTCACAGCCACGGGCAATGCTGTACCAGTGCCTTTATCATCACACCTTTGGGGTTTCTTTGGCTAAATAAGAAAAATGACTAAATTAGACAATAAACGTGTTAGTGGCGAATCAAAGACAAAGCAAACCCTCTGCTCTGGCTCTCAGGGCTCATCCCTGAGCACAGGCTGAGCTGGTGGTGCATGGCTGGCTCCCTGTGATGGAGCTCATCCTTCTGGCCAAGAGTGACCCCCCAGTCCACGGGAGCACCTTCTGCTTTGTCGTCCCCTCTGATCCCCAGGCAGTTGCTGATGCAGAGGGCGAGGCTGACAGGGAGGTGTGGGAAGCTCTGTCCCACAGCAGGATTAGCTCATGGCTGTTTTCCTGCCCTGTCCTCTGCCAGGGGAGCAGGATGGAGCTAATTCATCCCTGGGCTGCCATCCAAGGGGCTGGGGCTCCCTTTCCCAGCAGTGGATCTCCCCAAGGCCATCCCTGGTGATCACACATCCTCCTGCCAGGGCTGAGCAAATCTCCCAGGGCAGGAACACCCAGGCAGTGTTTGGGAGCAGCTGGAGGGCTCCCAACAGGTCACAGCGGGAAGGGGCTGTGGGAGGGAAGCAAAGGTGACCCAAGCTGACCCCTGGGGAGGACATTGCTCTTGGGAGCCCTACCTGACCCTTCCCAACCTATTCCCTGTAATTCTGCCTTTAGTTTTCTCTTTTATCTGCTACAATACTGTGGGTTTATGACCCATTTCTGTGTATTCACTGCGCTCCTCAGGAGGTGAAATGAATGATGGACACGCTATTTTTTAACCTGCAGAAGTCATTAGAGTGGAAAAGTCCTAAACAGGCCAGGAATGTGGCATTTTATGGAAGTCCAGGTTTAACTCTGAAGCTGAATTATCTGCTGGGTGAAATCAGAGTCTCGGCTGGAAATATTTTTCCACACCTCTTGGCTTTGAGAAAAATGCAAAGTCAGCTGTGAATCAAACTTAGTGGCTTTGGTCCTTTGGAATAAATTCAGCTTCGAGTCCCTCCCCATGGGCTGCAAATCACCCTTTAGTCTCTGCATCAAGGACTGCTGTTAAAAACCCATTCCACATAAAGCCATTTTTGCTGCAGCCAACGAGCACAACAACCCTCCCTGAACCCAGGACGTGGCTCAGGAGTTTTGACTCCCTCAGGAGAGGAGCTGGAAGATGGAATCTACCACTGCTCAGTGCAGGCTGGACCAGAGCAAGAGAGATCTGTCAGGGAATTCCTGTTCTGCAGCAGGAGATGGAGAACAGAGAATGCAAAGACAAGCCTCTCCCTGTAACGAGGACTGAGCTGCCTTGGGAGGGCAGTGACACACAGGGAGGTGACAAAGCCGCCTCTTCTTGGCACCAGAGCCCCCAAACTCTGATCTCTCCAGGCCACGTCCATGGGAATTACTTGTGCTCATCCCTAGACCCCAACTCCCCTGAGCAGACACGACCAGCTCTCTGACAAAGCCCCTTATCTGAAGCTCACAAGCAAAGGTGCCAGCAGCAAAAATACAGGCTCTGTCCTCACATTCCCCACTTGGAAAGAACATGAACCTGGCACACAAAGTCCTGCAAAACAGGCAGAACACCTGCAGTCTGGTGAGACCCACTGGAATGAAGAGAACTCCTTATGATTGGGGGTTTTAGAAGATGAGTGTCAGAGTTAATTTTCACACAAATATTCTTACAATCACCTTTCCCTCAACTATAATTAATACTGAGGACACCTGCAAATTCTAACGAGCCTGGAGATGTCTCTGTGAGCCTGATGCTCCTCATCTGGTGGGTCCCATCCTTTGGGATCACTGCCACAGCTGAGGGGTCGCTGGCAGGGGGGTGACCAGCAGAGCTGAAGGTTTCCATCCATTCCAGATTTCTTGGCAATGTCTCTTCCACCTCCCTTTAATTCTCCCCCACCTCTCTCTCATTTACACCTCTGCTCTCCAGGACCTTTCAGGGTCACAGCACAGGAGCTGTGCTGGTCTCCGAGGCTGTTTTAACTCTTTTTAACTGAATCCAGCCCTGCCCAGTGCTTGGCTGCTCCTCCAGAACACGAGCTGGGGCATCTGTGCCCTAAACCTAAAGCTCACAGTGGGGTGAGAAGTCTTTAACTGTGGCACTTCCATGCCCGATGCAGTTTGAAGGTCGGGATCCCCCCTGTGACCTCACTGGGCTTCACTCCTATTTTGTGTTTACAACTCAACACTGAAGATTTTCACTTCTTTTCTGAAATTTGCACAGGTGGAATCTGCAGCTTTTAATGCACCAAAGGCAATACCAAGAAGTGAAAATATTTTACAGTTTTGTGTAAAAACGGCCTTGATCTGAGCAAGGATTCAACATTATGGGAGTCAGCACGAGCAGGCATTCATTCTGCTACTGAAAAGGAGGAAAAAAAACCCCTTCATTTTCATCAATTACTGTGAAAAAAAAAAAGAAAGGAAAAGGTATCCTGGATGCAAAATGCCATGGGAAAAGCTGAGTGTTGTGCTGGAGGCCACTTAGCTGAAAGCTGAAGTGTTTAGCACTTCTTGCTGCAGAGGCATTTGGCATTGCCCCTGCTAGTAAAATAAAATGCATGAATGCAGGACAGACGTGGCACACAGGGAGCTCAGGACACAGCAAGATAAACACAAATAAAGCAAATAAGTGTGAAAAAAAAAAAAAAAAAGCAGCAAAACGGTAAAAGGAAAATTAACTCGATTTGAGGGAGCATTTGGAAACCCTGCCCCCCATGTCATGTACAGGTAAGCACAACAGCAGCTCTGCAGGTTATTATACACAAAAAAACACTGATGGTTTTGATGATGATGAGGTTTTGCACTGAAGCTTGACAGGTTTGTGATTTTCCTGATGCAGGGAAGGCCCGATCTCTGCAGGGAGGCCTGGTGTGTGCCAGGAGCAGTGACTGCCCTGGGCTCCTCCCTGTGCCACGTGAGCTGAGAGATAGCTGACCTTAAAAATCCCATAATACCCCTTAATGCTGCACTTTCCCCCCCTACAGCATATTTCCAGTAAGGTATCAGTAATCCCAGGAAAGGAAAGGGCAAACTCCAACTGCTCAGATATAGGAAAACAAACAGCATCCAAAGCACTAAATCTGGGAAGGATTTTGAGCTGAGAGCTGCAAAAAACCCTGTTAAAACTTAAGCCAGGGAGAATAAACCCAGGAAAGGCAATTAAACTTCACTCTTGGCTTGGCTGGTGGTTGAGAGTTGCCTGAGAAGCGGGCACGGTGTGATTTACTGGGAGATAACGGTGGATCACACGCCCCAGCTCCCACGGAGGCTCCACACTTCCATCAACATGTCAGCATTTAGTGCTGAGCTTTATTAAGCATGAAAGAAAAGGGAAGAAAAAAAAAAAATCCCAATTTTGAAGTTTTAATGTCCTCAGTCAGTCTTTAAAAAAAAAACAAAAACATTTATGGAGTAGATGATGATAGTGATTCAACCCAGCAGCCCTGGAAGGGAGGCTGGAATGAATATTGACTGTGCTCTCCTAGTCTGTGGTTTGTGGTAAAGGAAACAATTCTCAATTCTCCATCTTTCACTGCTGGCAATTCTGATGGTGAAATAAAGACAACACCGATATTCATCACTATTGTTAATGCCTTCATGAAAGGCTGACTTGGATCTGGAATCGCTCTAAAGTCTACCAAGGTGATGAAAGTGTTTAAAAATTACTGACCTAGTTCATTCAGATAGCTGTAGGGTCTCCAGTCTGCAGTTTCTCTGTCAAGGATTTTGTTACTGAGCTGTTCAAAAAGTATGATAATGGGTTAATGCTGGAAGAAACAGACAGTTCCCACCCGAGACTCCAGCCCAAGGACGTCAGGAACAGAAATGGGAGATGATTGTTACCTTGGCCTCACATCTCAGCCCTTAAGCCTAATGAGCTGGACAGTTGTTCACTAGCATTAGGGAAAATCACAAAGGAAAGTCACTTCACCAAGCCATGAACACAAACATGCTGGAAAACACGGGGTTTCCTTGAGCACCACGACTTTGGACGCCTGTGGCCACGGAGTGACGTGCTGGCAGCTCCACGACAACTAATGGAGAGGGATGGATCAAACCCACCGACATCAGCATGCAAAGAGGGGCTGCTCGGAACTGAGGGGATCTGCTGAGACATCTGCGTGCTCAGTGACGGGAGATGGGACGGTGACAGAGTTCTCTCAATTCAAGGAAAATAACTCTGGCAGCGGCGAAGCGCCAAGGCCTGCGCAGATCTGCCGGCGAGGAGAGGAGCCCAGGGCTGCCAGCCAGATGCTGCTGCTGCTGCTGGAAAAACACCTCTCCCAGCGCTGGCAGCTGGGACCCTCTGTGTGCCTGAGGCATGGAACGGACACATCCCACGCTGCCATGGTGGGAATGCCTGGAAAAGGCTGCTGGTGGACTGACCACCCCTGTCAGCGGGCTCTGGGTTTCTCTGCCGTCTGCCGAAGCCTCGCTCGAGCAAGGTGATGCTTGAACACAACAGCAGGGCAAGCACGGGGGATTTGGGGCTCTGCAGGGAGCTCAGTGGAACATCTCTGTGGTCAGAGAAAGGGGAGGGGTTGCTGTTTTGGGGTACCAGGCTCCTCTAGCCTGGGGCACCGCAGCAAAAAGGGGTTCTACAAAACCCCCGGGGATCGGGTGAGTCCCAGCAAGGAGGGTCTGGGAGTCACTGCAGTTGGTAAAGCTGCCGAGTTTTCCACCTTCACATTTCACCCTTGAAAGCCACAACTGCTGGAATGCAGCTGGTCCTGAGGAAGTGTCAGTTCAAGAGCAAATCCCAACCCTTTTACGGTTGTGAAGCCACCACTGCTCTCCCGTGTCTGCTTCCAGGCTGGGGAGCCTCCTGCCTCTGTTCAGAGGGTTCAGCTCTGCTATTTTACTGTGTTTACAGGAAAATGCTTAACAAAAAGGAGGTTAAAACTGATAGAAAGTATTCAAAATTATCACAACATTTAATTATTCCTGATCTCTCATTCATTTTTGCTTAGCTCCCTCAATGGGTTTTCAGACCTGGCACACAGAAAAACCTCCCTGATGTACTTAAGGCTGTTGGGATACTAAATCCCAGCTGGCACCCAGCACCTACATCCACAATCCAAAGATGTTTCCACCCACCTTCACAGCCTAGTCCAACAGCCCTCAGTGCCACAGCCACCCCCCTGAGGGTGCAGCCCCATGTTGTCCCTGTGCCTGCAGTGATCCCGCTGTCCCTGGGCACTGAGGGAGCTCTGCAGGGAGTCCCCCAGCACTCCTGGAAACTCCTGACGTGCCACCTGAGGAAAGGGGGACACAGCCCTGTGCCCTCAGGACATTTATGTGGTCACAAATACCTTCCCTTTGTGCCACCAGCCCAGGAGCCCATTTCAAACCCATCCAAACTGGGCTCTGACTGAGGAGACTCCGCTGTGGAGCCACCAGCGCTGACCTCGCACGAGGCATCACTTCAGGGCAGTCTGTGCCCTGTGCTCAGTGGGAAGTGCAGCCAGATGATCCCCACAGTCCCCTGAGGCCCTGCAGCCCATGAATCTGTCACCACACAGCTCCAGCGACCGCCGTGTCTGGAGCTCCTCCCGCTCCTCCTCATTTTCTGTCCGTATTCCCACTGAGGTGTCATCAGCTCAGCAGGCACCTCTGCACCAGCCACTCTCCTCAAGGACGTGCCCAGAGCAGGGAGACAGTTGATAAAGCTGCTTGTCTGCAGCATTTCCAGAGCAATCCCTGCCCCAGAGCAGTGGCTGTGGCTGCACATTCCTGCTCCTGGCACACGCTGTGCGTTGGCATCTCCCAGCTGAGGGCACAGGAGCCGTTTCTGTATCACTGAGCAGCTCCTGGTGCTTCCCCCAGACTGGGAATGGAAACCCTGGCAGCAGACAGGGGTATGGAGCGATGGGGCACTCAGGAGAACAGCAGTGGCACAGGAATGAGGAGCAGATCAGCTTGGAACGTGGCCCAACACACCCCAGCACATCAGTTCTCAGAGCCCACGGCCTCGTCCTTCGCTTCAGAACTCCCAGTCAGAACACAAACGCTGATTTCCAACCCAGCTGCACCACTTAGAGCACATTTATTAAAGTCTTGGGGGTTTCTATTAAAAGCTGTGGGCTTGCAGGATTTATAAATCAGCTCACAAACCTAAAATTTGGCATGAAGAGCTACGGGCTAGAATTGATTTTTTTTAATGAAATGATTTGGGGACATTTCGAAGTTTTCCTGAATGCAGCAATTAGGAAGAAATGTGATTATAGCTGTCTCTTTGTGCTACTATCATTTCTTAACACACTATAATTTGTTAACTTTTTTCTTTTTTTTAAGACAGAAAATACTTCAATTTTTAGTGCGAAGCAAAATTGCTTTTCTGAAGGAAGAAATCCTTCAACAGCGAATTTCTCCATTAAAATTCCTAGCTGGTAATTTTAGCACTTTGGCTAAAACTACCTCGTATCTGGGCAACTTTTCCTTTAAGATCAACAACGAGACACCAGCACGAGGAAAGCAGAGTCATTATCTGCCTGGCTGAGATAGCTGGAGAGATGACAGTGGCCACCTGACCACCACCAGCCATTTGTCAGCCTCAGGTTTCTGAAGTCCGTGGTGATTAGGCAAAGGAGTGCTGGCAGGAGCTCCATCATGCCTTTATCCTCCAGCAGAGCAATCAATAAGAGCTTTGCCATCAATTTCCCTGACTCCTGGCTCCAGATTTCCGTGGTCCAAGCCAGTGGCTGCTCGGCTTTCGTGCCCATCCTGGACGCTCTGCGGCCATTCTGAATTTGCAGCCTTTCTCTTTCCTGGGCAAGTTTTAGTCACAGGTACTTTAATGATGCTTTCTGTGGCTGAATTCCTTTTTATGAGCTGGGTGACATCCAGTCAGACCATTTCCAGTGACCTCTGTTTTGCAGTTTCTAATTTTATGTGAAGCCTTCGGTAGAATTTAGAACTCCCTTTAATAGATGTGAAACTGCTGGCTTTAAAAATTCAGGACATCTAATAGCAATTGATTTTTATGATGTCTGTAGAAACCAGCAACACCTGGAAGGGGGTGAGGGTGGAATTACGAGCTTTGCAAAAGCTCAAGGTGAGAATCCTCCATTTGCTTGTGACCATTGCAGGAGCCCCGCGCTCTATGCAGAGGAATCTTCACAAGCTTTGCAGGGTTCAGTAAAAGGGAGATTTATCCCTTCTTTAATACATAGCTCAAAAAATCAAATACAGAGCTGGCACTGAAGCCCTGAGAGGGGTTCTGCCAAATGCCCTCTGAGCTAGACAGGTCCTCCTCATCTGAAATCTGGTCTTCAGCTCAAGCAATGAGAGCTCTGATGTGAAGACACAGGTGTGGAGGTGGGTGTGTGTCTCTGTTTTTCTGCTTTGGAAACTTGGCTGCATTGAATTTGTGGCACAATTTCACTCCAGTTCGTGTCTGACACTCCTGGGTAACTCGCAGCATCACTATTACTTGCTGCTGAACATGTCATTGGAAAAAAGGCCAAACTTTTGTAGGGCAAAAGATCAAGTTCTGGCTTCACTTGTTTGATAGTAAAATATCTCTTGACTTCAGTGGTTCCAGCATGTCACCCAAGCTGACCTGGCAAACCCACTCACACGTGGGGAGCAGTTACCTGGGCAAGGTGTCCAGCACGGGGATCCTGGAGCCTCTGCTGGACCTTGCACAGGGACACAGCTCAGCCCAACAAGCTCCTGCTGGCAGCTGGAACAGCCTTTAGGGACACAGGACTGGAAGGGCTTTGGTCACAGAGTCCCTGGGTCCTGCCGCCTTTTCCTGCAAACACCCAGGCACATAATCCCTGAGATAGCTGATCAAGCTCCATTTTAACAGTAATCACATTTCTTTGTCCCATTAGTCTTCCTGGGAAGCTATTCCAAAATCTTGCTGATCTGATGTTAGAAATCTAATTTCCAGCTTGGATGCATTCATGGCCAGTTCATCCTCATTTGTCCTCGTGCCAGCGCTGTCATCCCACTTCAGCAGCTCCCCTCCCTCCTCGTGTTTACCTTGCTGTATTTAGAGATGGCAATCATGCTCCCCCTCAGCATTCATTCTGCCACATAAAAGAAGCCAAGCCTTTTTTTAGTCTCTTCTCATCCTCTCCCCCTTCTCCTCCCACTTGTTTTCCTCCTGCCTGTGTTCCAGTCCCTGCTCCACTGGCACAACCGCCCGGCCCTGCGGGTTTTAGTTTTAATGCCTCTACTTGTATTTGTCTCTCAGCAGCTTCAGTGATTTACCTCCAGGACGTGTGCAGGGTCCTGAGCAGTGGCCAAATGTCTGCCTGGCAGAGGGAAATGAGGAGGTGAGATACCTTCTCCCTGGTCCTGGCAGGGATGTGGGGAGCTGGGCACTGCCACTGTGCTGTGCAGACAGACCCACCCCCCAAACTGAGATTGTCAGTGCAGTGCTGGGCCCTTCAGCTCCTGCCCTCAGCCACCTCCATCCCCGGGGGAGGTACCACTGTGCCCCCTGAGAACAGCAGTGAACAGCCACAGCTGTGCTGGGAGCCCCAGAGCCAGGGATGCTGGGGCTGGGAGAGCAGAGCAGGAGGAAAAACGGGAATAATATGTATAGAGTTGGGTGAGAAAAGAGAATAGGAAAAGGGAGAGAGAAAACCAAAGATAATAGAATGAACACCAAGGGAAGAGGAGAGAAAAGGCAAAATAAGCCACAGAAAGAGAAAAGAGGACAAGAGGGGCTGGGGGAGCACCGGAGTAGGGGCTGCATCTCCCATGCCCTGCCTTGGCCCAAGCTGTCTCTGAGGGCAGGGACAGGGGAATGGCTCCACTCCCTCTCCCCAAAGCATGATCTCCTCGGAGAGATAACACATCCCAGGCTCTGGCTCAGCACTGCAGAGATTCCTCTGCCATTTCTTTTCATTTTGCATCTGTGCTGGTTCCTTTGTGACCCCAGCTGGCACCACAAAGAAACGAATCCTCCAAGTACAACTTGTGCACATTTCTCTGCAGAAGAGTGGGAATGGCACCAGGCAAACTGATTTGGAAATGAACTCGTTAAGGCAGCCAGTGGGGCTTTATGTGCTCCTTTGTCTCACTTGGCTGGAGAGTTGCAGACAGACAAAGCTTGGTTTTGGCCATCTCAGCTCTTCAGCACTGCAAAGCGTTCCCGTTAAGAAGTGAGATGCTGGGAGAGCTAAAGGAAATATCAGGCTATATATTGAGATAAAAACCCTGAAAATTCCAGAGCCACTGGTTTTTCTTTCAGTGACTACCAGGACAAGCTGCTGACTGACTCTGGACAGCCAGTGCCGCAGCAGGGGGAGCAGCTTCCAGGCGGATCCCAACGCATCGCTTGGGGCTTAAACCTTTCCAGCAGCTTAATATTTGGAACATTTCTGTGAGGAGATGGCTGGGAATCCAGGAGAGGTGCTGGCTTTGACCTTTTCTGAATTCATTTAAATTTCTGCAACAGGATTAGTGGCCCAGGTGGACACTCATCCTAAATTTGACATTATGAGAGTTTGCGCTTTCAGTTTGGGGAGCAAAAATGCATGGTGCAAGGGGACTATCTACATCAGAAAACATATTTACACATCTGTCTAAACATTTCTCTGAGAAATCTCTGGAGCCTGCCTTTTTATTATATTTTAATGAGATTTTCTTTTAATAACCAAGAAATGACTTCCAGGAGCACATGTAGAGATATTTTTGCCTGTCTTGTACAATCCTGCCCTTTTTTTTTTTTTGCAGTAATCTTGTTCCTATGGCTTTCCAGTGAATAGTTACATTTGGATTAAGGTGACACAGCCTGCAAGTCCCATCGTTTTTAAAGCTGACAACACTGATGAAATCAACTGCGTTTCCTTTTTCCCCCCTATGCTTTGTCCCACCTTGGCTTATCAGGGCTCCAAAGGAAGAGCTGTTTCACCATTTACCACCCCTAAATCTACTGCCAAGGTGGTGATTTGAGTCTCAGTGTTGTTCATGAATGGTCTGAGGGCATCAACATGTGACAAGGAAGGTACAACTGGATGTCTGAGCAGAGGGAACAGCTCTTCTGGAGAGCCAGCAGTGACATCAAAGTGTCCCTGGGTGAGTCACAGCAGTGCTCAGAAGCACCCCAGGTGCCTTCTTGCATCTCTCTGTGTCAGCAGGGAATTTGTGTGTCTGCTGGAAACAATGGACTAGCAAAGTGAGATTACTGACCTAATGCTCCTTTGATTTACTTGTGTTCCTTTCATGGATAATTATGTTTATCTGGTGATTTATCTCTTGTGAGAAGCAAACATACCTCGGAGTTGCTAAGACACCCAGCCTTGCTGACCCAGACAGGCATGTGCTGAGACTCCAGTCATTCCCAGGGCTTGGGAAGGTGCTGGGAGGGGAAAAGCTGACCTTTCCCCAGAGTTTTAAATCGAGCTGGCAGACAGCAGGACCCAACAGACAGCGCTTGGCTTGATTTCCTTGAACTGATAAGAACCCTGCTCCGGTGGGGTGGGGTAATATCTACCTTACTGGAGCTGTTTCCATCCAGATTACTGGGAAAGAAGCGTGAGGTCACACCACATGAGAGAGTGTGGTAGCTGGGATTGGAAAAGCAGTGTACACTGCCGCTACCTTGAGACACATCTGGGGAGAGAACAAGTCAGCACAAAGCACTTTGGAAGCCATAACAATCCTTAAGAAACTGAAAACGTGGCACACACACAATCTAGTCCAGAAATCTCGGTGAGAGCTCTGGGCGCTGTAAAACATCTGCAGATACAATCTGTCCTGAGTTATGGTGTGAAGCTCTTGACTAGCAGCATTACACATAAGGGGAAAAAAAATAGAATAAAAATTAGTTAATTAACACAGCATTATCTTTCTGAAGATGTTAAAAAAGGCCATTCCTGACAGTCCAGCTTGCCTTGCAGGTTGAGGGAGGGAATGCAAAATTTGGGAAATGCATGGGCTGCAACGCAGCTGCTTCCTTAGCTTAAAACTTGTGAGAGCTACTGAGCAGAACAGCCCCTGTAGTGATGAAACAAATTAAACCTTTTGTTACCAAACCAGCAGTCAAGTTGGAAATCAAGGTGCTACAACCATAGCAGGGAGTCCAAACCATTTTACATTTAGTAGGAAGGCTTATTAAGAAAGAAATCTGGAGCCCTGAAAGGCAAACCCGGGCAGTTACATTGTTATCTACAGAGACATTTTATCTATTTCCCCCCCTTTAACTGATACACACATTTACCAAGAGAGGCATCATACTTATACTGGCAGTTCTAATGAAAACATCAATCCCAATCTGGTTCCAGCTGCATAACAAATTGATAAATATTTCAAAGCACCATCAGAAGAACGGATGGAAAAATCAGACCAGAGCAGCAGCATTTAAACAACAAAGCCCTGTAAGAAGCAAATGAATGGGTTTGAGTAAACCACAGGCTTAAACTGTAGGCAGAGAGGTTGGTTATAGGGAACACCTGCATGTGGAGAGGGTAAGGAAGTGCTGTTTGAACCCATCCCCACCTTTACGGGAGGTTGGCGGCGATGGGTGAGGGAGGACACGGCCCCGGCTGGCACTGAGGGGGTTCTCAGCCACCATCACCCCTCTCCCCTTGCCCTCTGCCTCTGCCTCGCTCTGAACATGCACTTTGCTTTGCTGACATCTTGTGGAGATCTAGATTTAGCTTAATTTACTGCAGAACATCCCGTTTCAAGGAAGGGGCTTTATCTGCAGGGCTTTATCTCTTACGTAAGCGCTGTAGCTGAGGGGAAGCTGCTCGGGCACATGTGCAGGTCTGACCAAGCACTTCTCCTCTGCTGAAACATGCACAGGGATTTTCGAGGTCAGCCCTCTTTTGTGGTAAGAGCAGAGCCTCTCACTTGTTTCCTGGGGTTGTTGCTAATGAAGTAGATCAGGATGTGATTCCAGGGCTGAAGTCTTTGCATCAAACTTCTTGCAGCCAAGGCTGCCAGGGCTCTGCCGCCTCCCCAGCTCCAACTCTGTGACATTTGCAATCAAATGAACACAGAACACCTATCTCTAGGGGTCTGCCAGGGAGAACTGGGGCTGGAACCCCACACTGTGCCGGTGTGTGCCCACAAACACTGACACAGCTGCTCACACGCAGCCCTGAGCCTGCTCGGGGGGGTTGGCATGAGAGAGCTCATCACCCTCCTTACAGCCTGTGCTCCCAGTTAAGGATGGACACTTGGATCTGTGTCTGCCTGTCTGTGGGAGTGTTGATGGCTGAGTCACACCAGCTCTGCCTTCCCCTTCCCCTGTCACTCAGCTGACACCTTGCGAGTTCACCCCCAGCTTATCTGGCCATAGCTTGCTTTCTGCACCCAAAATGAGCTGGAATAAAACTCTCCCAGACTGCCCTACTGCTTAGCACCGTGCTGAATTAATGACCCTGAGCTCATACACATCACCACAGCCCTTTTATCCCCACCCTGCTCTCAGAATTACTCCTTCTACACAGTTCCATTTGGTCGATACTTAAGTACCCACCCAGGCTGATTTACCTTGATAGCACAGTCCATTTTCTACACATTTATTCATGAAGCTCTTGTAACTGCTGGCTGGAAATATTCAATCAAATTCAAATCTAATGCTGTCCCTGCTTCAAAAAAAAAACAACAAAAAACTCAAAAACCAACAAAAAACCCACAACCCACAAAAACCCCCAGCTCTTCCTAAAGGTGAGAATTTTACTCTGCTCTGAAAGGGAAGGAAAAGACTTAAATGCCTACAAGAAAGGGCATTATTTAAATTAAACCAAAACAAAAATAGCCCCGAGGTAATGTTAATGTCACCATGGGGAGATCAGACCTGTGAAGGGACACAGGATGGCAGAGCCTTGCTGGGAGCCCCTCAAGCCTGAGGATGCTCCAGAGGATGCTCCACGAGGTCTGGATGAAGGTTTATCACCCGATGGACTGAGCTCCTGCCCCCAGCCCGGGCTGTGGGGTGACCCAGAGAGCACCAGTCCCCATCCTGGAGCAGCTGCAGGACAGTGGTGTGGAAATTGGGCACCAAAAAGGGGACTAAGCGAGCCCTGCAGTCAATACCGACCCAGACTTGTCAGCTGCTAAATGGAGCTCTGCTTTCCTGTGGGTCCCCTCTGCCCACACAGTGCCACTGAGGCTCCAAGCAGGAGGGTTCACTCTGCCACCTCCCACCACACATCAGCTGCAGATCATTTCTGGAAGTGTCTTGTCTGGGCTTCAGGATCCACGGTGCTTTATTTTTATCAGGCTTTGCTGAGCTCTTGGCTCTCAGCACAGGATTCGCCCCCCATCAGAAAGTTTGTTTAGGCCCTGGTGAGGCCTCAGACACCCCTTCAGCCCATACCCAAGTCTGTGTGAAGGCCCTGAGAGGAAATCTCTGCTGTTCTCCAGCGCTGCCACACCTTTTTCCTTTCTGTCCCCATCTCCTTGAACCGAACAGCCTGCACTTAGAACCTTTCCTGGATGCAAAGCGCTGTTTTCATGCTGGGGAGCACCATTTTGATTTCAGGCCTATTTGGGAAAGTCTGCTCTCAGATCCAAGTGTTGTGGATAAGCTCTCCCAGCATGGGTGGTTTTCTTTCCCTCTGGCTGCTGGGCAGAGTGTGTGTTTTGCTGCCACATCCTTCATCCACAAATGCAAAAGAGTCCAAGGGCTGCCCAGGGGGTTCCCCTGCCTCATAATCTCTCTCACACATATGTGGGGATTATCGGCCTCGGGAGAGCTGAGGACGCAAAGACCAAAAACATCCTCCAGAAATAAATTAATGTGCTGGAAGAAACTGCTGCCTCCAGGAGCTTGCTTGGGATCTGTGTATGTGACTGTTCTGAAACAACACCACCATCACCCAAATGAAAGCAAACCAGGCAAAATAATAACTGGTGATTCAGGAGAGCCATAATGTTACAACCCACAGAGAGCTGGAGACTGCAGCCATCCAGGTGGAATTCCTGCCAAAGCACACGAGTTTACACGGGATTATATTCATTCGACAAGTACATCTGCATGTTGTTCTGCCCTTAATCCACATACAAACCTCCAGGTGAAGGCTGGGATCCCTGTTTCCTCCGTGCAGTGCTGCTCCTGTCCTTCAGCACCCCCTGCAACACACACCTGCACACCTGCACTCAGACACACACGTGCTGTCTCTTGCCACCCAGATATTCCTTGTCTCTGATCTTGTCTCACTGTCTACCTGCCCACTTCCTGCTGAGGAAGATGCACATCAGCACCTTTCCCTGTCCCTGCTCCAGGGAGGTGAAGCAGCACTGGCAAGGCCCAAGCTGGGATGGTAATGACTGATGGGTACAAAGCCTCTTAGTAAGAGAATGTACTGGAGGACAGTCGGAATTTGGCAGGGAGTTTTCAGAAGATTTTGTTTAAAATTTGTAAATGCCCTTCTAAAACAAAAAAACACAACTTGAAACGGTGCTGATACCTGCAGGCAATTTATAATGAGATGAAGATGGAGCAGTGTGTTTCTAACTTCCTAACCTTCCTCTGCAAGCTCAGATGGCAGAGCTTTCCAAGGGGGAGAAGAAAGAAAATCATTCCTGTGACCTCCAGAAAGAGATGGTTGACCCCCCCTCCACTGCAGCATCCTGAATGATAAAATATCTGTTGCTACAAGGACTGCACGAAGAGAGGAGAGAGAAAAGACCCAGAAAAGACCGATCTCTGCATCTCCATCACTGACTGAGATGAACAGGGAAGAACCATTACCCAGTTTCTTCCCAGAGAAGCCCAGGCAACACCACTGACCTGGTGCTGTTTGGGATGGTGAGGGGTTTTTACAAACTGGGCTGACACGGAGCAGCAGCGCCACAGGGGCCAGAATTTACCTCACTATCACTGCCCAAGGACCACAGCAGGTCCCAGGTCCAATGCAGCCCAAGGAGGGGATCCCTCAGATGTCATGGCAAATTAAAGCCCACAAGGCAATAACCTACAAACATAGTCCTGGGCTACCAACACCTTTAAACACCGTGGCTTTCTCTCTGTGGCTGAGGAGGAAAGTCATCTGTCTGTGTTACCTTTCCAGGATGGGAGAATCCCTTCCCAGCATTAGCCTTTTTCCAGACTTCTTGCAGTGTCTGAGACTGGGACACCATCAGGTCCTCTGGGAAGTCTCATTTCATAGCAAAATATGGAGGAAAAAAAAAAAAAGAGAGATTTTTGTTCTGAAAGGAGCTGCTCAGTAATTCCACTCAGGAACTCCCAGCAATTCCTCTCCTTCCTTCGAAGTGTCCAGGCTGTGTCCCTTAAACATGCTGGGTTGCACATCCATTAACTAGGGAAGCACAGAGATAAATGAGGTGGAGCAGGCTCTGTACACAGATGGATAAGGTGCCAATGGGAGAGAAATGGATGACTGAGAAGTTCAGGACATTTTTCCATGCTAGTGGCTGTGATCTGCTCCCTCAGCACCCAGAGCCTCGCTGCTGTGGAGATGGGCCACAGCTGCCTTCTGCATGTTCGCGGTCTGGCTCCTCAAACGGTGTTGAAATGACAAATTTCAGGCCAAGCTGTGCTGGCAATTAGTCAAGGATTAGACGAGCCCTCTCTGTCAACACTGTCATTCATGTCTTACCCAAATGGGCAGCTTAAGCAAGAGCCAGCAAAGCTAAAATTCAAACACAAGGAGCGATGGGAGGAAGTACAAGAATGACTTTCCCCCCAATCTTGGAGGTACCAGAAGAAGGAATGCTCTACTGAGTGGCCTAGACATGAGTTTGGTCAATGGTGTTCAACAGGCAGCCCCTGACGTGGGAGGTGCCATCGCAGGAAAATGCCCCTGACACGAGGACTGAAGTCACAGTGCCAGGAGAGAAGATCTGGGATTAAGTTCCAGGTGTAGCCAGGCATTGCCATCATTGGCTTCATGGGAGAGCCTCCTCCCAGGTGCATCCTGGGCAGGGAATTCCAGACGGAATCTTCCAGCCATGTCGCCCTGAGACAGCACAGAAGCCGACGGGCCTCGTGTATTCACAGGAGGAAGGAGAAAGAAAAAGGCACTGCAGGCCTGTTCTCAGGCCTGTCTCAGGAGCTTGTACTCACTGGCACTTACAGTTTCAGCCATTTAAAGGGAAGAGAAGAAGTCAGAGGGCAGCAAATCTTGAGGAGATCCCCACCAGAGACAGATCAGAGAAAACCAGAAGGAAGTAAATCTATCTCCTGCCTGGCATCCTCTCTGATATCGGCCAGAGAGGAATGAAGAAGAGTGACAGTGTTGAAAAGGAGATCAGATCCTCCAAAGTTTAGCCAATCTGTCAAGAAAAGCTGTCCTCCATAGCAGTGGCAGAAGACTGAGAGAAGGAGGAACGCTGTGATCCCAAAGATCCCTTCCTCCCTGCTGCTTTCATCAGCTCCCGGGAAGGGAATTCACACCAGCTCTTTGGATGACAGGGACAGGTCTGTGCTCAGCAGAGAGTGACAACAAACAGGACACCTCAAATCACAAACTGCAACACAGCCACAACCAGCACCCTCTGACTGACCCAGTCAATCCCCCTCCTCGAGCAAGGAAAGGCCTCTCAAGGTTTGACAAAGGGAAAACTCCTCTGCACTGCAATAGGAATGCAGAAATAGGTGATTTAAAGCCCATGCAGCACATTTCTTGCCTGGGTACATCCTCTATTGTGCTGAGTAAACTTTCAGATATCAAGTAGCTTAAACCAGTTTATATTTGCTCTCCTGTCCCTGTTATGTGTTTACAGATCACGGCATTCAGGGGAAGAACAAAAGCTCGTTATTTCTGAGGCTCAGTAGCACATGTTACACATCACAGAAACTTGTATTTCCCCAACACACAGGAACACGAGTCTATATTTGATTAACAGAAAAAGACCCTTACCAGAAAGTGAGTAATCTGTATTAGTCATCCTCATGGCTGGAGTGTAAGATACACTTGGCATGTCATGGCCCTTCTCCTTCTGTTTCCGTCGATACCACACAAACAGTGCCAGCAAGACCATAATAATTAGAAGGAGAATAATAATTCCAATGATTGCTCCCACTGAGTGCCTCTCTGATCCAAGAGCAGGGCTAATTTTAGTATAGGGGTTTAATTCTTCCATCATAAGAGCCGCTGTTAAAAGTAATTCATAACACACTGTAAATTGAATCGTGCATTTCATTTTCAAAATACTGTTGTTTTTTTTTTTGTTTTTTTTTTTTAAAGCAAGTACATCATTGGAGAGGGAGAGAGAGATAAAGAGAGAGGGGTTTTACAGACAGAATGCCACTGTACCTTGATCACAGCGGATCCCTTTGAAGCCTGGGCTGCAGTAGCAGGTGCCCGTGACGTGGTCGCACGTAGCGTTGTTCATGCACTCACAAAGCTGTTTGCAACCGTAACCGAACGTTCCCGGGGAGCACTCTGGGAAGCCAAGGAAAAACACTGGAAAGAATTCCTGCTGTTTTCAGGAATGGGAGCAATGGAAAATTCAGCAGAAGAGCCTCCCTGGTTTCAGGGTCTCCAGGACAACACTCTAATGCAAGGTGATCATTATTATTTTAAAGCGGAAGATAAATGTATTTCATGCACAGTTTATTACTTATTAAGCTGTGACTTTCTGGAAAAGTCCTACAAGTCTTCCCAAGGATGAAATCAATAATGGGTACAAAGGATTTAAAAGCCTTGATATGCATTATAAGTGTTCAGAATCTGGCAGAGCACGAGCTCAGAAGCTGTGGACAGCACCTTGAAAGAGCTTAGCGTTCTCCACCACCCCACTGATTCTTTCTTCATGGGGTAGTTGCAAAGAAAAGTTTTAATGAACCTTTATATGAACTCCACAGAGTTTTACCAAACAAATCCCACGTGCTTTCCTACTCATCCCTTCTAGTGCCAGGAGGTGAACAGAACACTGAAGGTGGAATTGCAGAATTGAGCATCTGAAGGGTTTGATTGGCTCAGCTTCTGTACCAGGACTCCTGATACAGAAGGAATTTCCATCCTGTCTTTGTATTTCTATCAAAGACAAAATGATTGAATGTCCAGCTGAGAAATTTATTCATACAATTACCATGATGGGCTATTACAATAAATCTGTAGGCAGCTGACTTTACTTCTGGAGGCACTATTCAATAATAAATTGAAAGAAACAATGTCTGTCACATCCCACTTATTTCCACGGAGGAGCAGCATTACTGAAAGCACTCACACGTTCTGTGATACTACAGAAAATATCTTGTGATACTATAGAAAATATCTTGTTTAAGGTGTGACTCCTTGTGTGTCACTGCAAAGGTTCTGCATAGCATGAGACACCTCCCCAGTGTCAGTCTCTAAGTAGCTTCTAGTAGCCAAAATTTAATATCTAGTAAAGAACTGTAGCCATTATCCTTGTAATGATTTGCAGTGTGTATTAAAGTTGTATCTCTTTCTTTAATCTGCTGGTCCTCAAATAAGGGGGAAAAAAATATTACAACTAGTGCTCATTCTGATAGTAACCTGTAGCCTACTTAAAAAATGAATAAAGCCTAAATTTTGGGACTGCACCACAGAAACGATGCCTGCAATTAGGCATTTCATCTGCAATGCAGTGTGACTGCCCATTCAGCAGGATCTGGAGAAGGAAGGAGCCTTAATGAAGAGATTCTTTCAGATTAAACAGTAGAAAAACAGATAAATAAATACATTTGCTGCCTGGGTAGAAAAGAAAGCCTCAGGCTTTGTACAGAGGTCGAATTAAAAAGTAGCTTCTTGTATAAAATCTGTCGATGTGCAGTTCTACTGTGGGACTCTTTAGTTTCCTGTTCTGATGATGGTTGCAGTAGGGCTGTACCCAAATTCACAGTGAGTTGACCAGAGTTAGAGGTGCCATATCTAATCCCCCAGGAGCACACAAATTTGGTCCCGAGACATTCACTTTGCTGAATGCAAGTGAAGGCAGAAAGATGTTTATGAATTGAGTTACACGTGCAAATAATTCCATACAGATCCGTGCAGTGAGCTCCAGTCAAAGCCTTCCCTTCCAAATCCAACAGGAGCGTTACTGCATCACCTGACTGCCAAAATAAAGGAAGGGAACCCTGTGGAATTAATGCCTGGGTTAGGTAAGATGGATTTTACGTTGCATTTAGGATACGAGTAAGTGTGTGAGAATTTCCTTGTGATTTGCTGTACTGGACAAACAAGTCATTATTCAGCTGCAGCACATCCAGTCTGCACTACCCTCATTCCCTGTTCTTTAAAGAAGTCATTTGGCACAGGCTGCTGAATGTGCCAGCAGGACATGGACAACCATTCCAGTAAAACATGCCAGGTCCCTTGGAAGGTAATTGGAGTTCATTGTTTAACACTTGCTCACTGCTCAGACCAAACACAGATCCTTCCCAAAACGGCAAACAACTTTGTTTACTTGACCTGCTTTCCCTGTAAAGATGAATCTTTATTTGCTCCACATCTGTAGCATAACAGCTTAGGCAGGAAAGCCCCAGTATTCCCTGGAAGGCAGAGAGCAGAAAGGATTTATTCCTTTTAACCCTTCTGTCTTCCTTCGTGCTTAAGGAAACCCGATGCTGTTGCTCTCAACAGCGTTAGCAAGGCACGATGCAGCTTTTGGGCTGTTTTTCTGTACAAGTTTTTTTGGGAGGGCTCCATCCAGTCAGCACTGAGTGCACTGACTTGCCTTCTCTCACCTAACTTTAGCCTGGGAATGGAAAAGTCCAGTTGGCAGAGGATTCACTGGATTTCTTTATGCTCACACTGCCCAGTTTTCCACAGGCACCTTCTCCTCCCTATGGATTGTGTGAGGTGCCTGAGGCCACCGCCCTGCTGACATCAACACTTCATTCAAGGGCCTGTTTGTGCAGAGAATTCTGAAACACTTCCCCCTTCCTGGGGGTGCAGAAAGCCGAGGTCATGCTGGTACTTACTCTGCTCACACTGCTTGCCTGTGAATCCCGTCCTGCACGTGCACTGGCCGGTGATGTGGTCACAGTCGGCTCCGTTCTGACACTGGCACACGTTGGCACAGTTCTTGCCATAAAAAGCAGCTGGGCAACCTTTCAGGAATCAGAAGAAGGAAAGACTAAGAAAAGGAGGTGAAACCCAAACTCAAGATGCGTTATCAGCACAAAACACGTAGGGCTATAGATCTATGGATTTTCAGCCTCTGTATATTTAATAACATTTATTTCATGGTCTTAATGCAGAAATACCATGACAGCCAATTTTCTTGAAGTAATGTTTCTCATCTCTTACAGAATTGCCTCTTAAGTGTTCCAGAGGAATGAAAACTTGACCCATCTATACAAACCACATTTTCAAGAGGTGAAAGAAGATGCTAAACAGAAACTCTCTGAAAGAGCAGAGATCAATCAATTTCTTGCAAGTGAAAAGAGTCCTCTTAAAGGGCTCACCAGAATCGGCTCTCCTCTTGTACAGTGCTGGTAATTTGGCACTGGGAAGAGAAATCTCATTTTCCTAAATGAGGCCACATGTACGGGGGCCTTAACAAGCAGGACATCGACTGTGCAAATCCTGACAATGAATCAATAATCTAAATTATCTGCTCCTCCTTTAAAGGCATAAAAAACCACGGGAAGCTTCAGGACTGTTTTCCCTGAGGTGATGTGAGGTTATCCCGAGTAAGGAGCGGGTGGATTTTGAGGGAAGCTGCAATACTTGGAAGAGACACGAGGGAGCAGCACGTACTTTGACAGATTCCCTGTCCCTGTAAGGCTTACGCTGAGTGCAGAAGAGCCCGGTCCAGCCATGGGTACATCGGCATTCTCCATCGTAGGGGCTGCACAGGGCTCCGTTGTGGCAGTTGCAGGAGTGAAAGCAATCAGGGCCCCAAAACCCACTGGGACAAGCTATGGAAACAAAATACTGTGTTAGTGCTGAGGAGGAGCAACCACAAAGGGAGGGAGAACCGGTGAGAAACCAGCGAAGGCACAACCTCACACGGCAGAGCTGCAGTGACTCCTGGGCAGTGACTGGCTCTTCCCAGACTGTCACTGGCTCTTCCCAGACTGTCACTGGCTCTTCCAAGCCAGAAATCTCTCTGCTAGCCCTGGTGCCAACCTGTGGCTTCTCCCATGCTGTCAGTCCCTGGCACAGGGATTTCTCCCAGCAGGACAAAGGGGGGATTCTGCCCCTCTGCTCTGCACAGGTGTGATCCCACCTGCAGAGCTGCCCCCAGCTCTGGGATCCCCAACGTCAGGAGGATGTGAAGCTCCTGCAGCCAGTCCAGAGGAGGCCACAGAGCTGCTCCCAGGGCTGGAGCCCCTCTGCTCTGGAGCCAGGCTGGGAGAGCTGGGGGGTTCACCTGGAGGAGAGAAGGATCCAGGGAGACCTGAGAGCCCCTTGCAGGGCCTGAAGGGGCTCCAGGAGAGCTGGAGAGGGACTGGGGACAAGGGATGGAGGGACAGGACACAGGGAATGGCTTCCCACTGCCAGAGGGCAGAGTTAGATGGCATACTGGGAAGGAATTGTTCCCTGGGAGGGTGGGCAGGCCCTGGCACAGGTTGCCCAGAGAAGCTGTGGCTGCCCCTGGATCCCTGGGAGTGTCCAAGGACAGGTTGGAAGGGGCTTGGAACAACCTGGGATAGCAGAAGGTGTCCCTGCCTGGACCGGATGAGCTTTCAGGTCCCTTCCAACCCAAAATTTCCTGGAATTCTATGATTCCCCAGGCAGGTCACGCGGAAAGATCAGCTCTGCACTGAGAACCACAGAACCAGCGACCCCCTGTGTGCTCTGGGCACTCCCCCTGCCTTACTGGCACTATCTGTGAAGTCAATTTAGACTTGGGGTTGTAAGATATGGAGGTAATTTAATTTTCTTCTTGACATTCTGGAATTCTTGCATAATAAAGCCCAGCTATTCAGGTTTACTTTGCTATGCAATCAACCACTAAAATTACCACATTCAGTTGAAGCACCGAGTGCTGCTCCAATTACGTAAAAAATGTAAAGAAAACTTCTTCCAATATGAACTCCCATCCACAAATTCAGATTGCTTTTGTTGATGGGACCAATATTAAATTAAAATCTCCGGGTCTATTTTATATTTCAACAAGTACAATATTAATACATTTTAAAAAGTTATTTTAAGCCTCCCTCCAAAAAATGAGCGCAGTAAGTTACAGTTATTAGTGCCAGGCTAAAAGATCCAAAATGATGATAGCCCTTCAATATAACAACTATATTTTTGCTTTAAAAAGCACTTTCCGTGGCTTGCTATTAAAGACCTGAATTAATCAGGCACAGTTCCCAGGAAACCTGAAAGTACAGAAGCCATGCCTACTTCCATGGACGCCACCGGCTCCTGCCCGGACGATAAATGCAAGTTTCTGGCACATGACAGACAGAATGAGCAGCCAAAAAAACCTGCCATGACTTTAATCAAACAAAAGGTCACTGAACTCACACAGTGTAAAGCCGACCAGGACTTGGCCTGAAGTATCTGTGCTAGAAGAAACCCAGAAATAAAACCACGGAATGTGCTGAGTCGGAAGGGACCCGTCGGGATCATCGGGTCCCGCTCCTGGCCCTGCACGGGGCACCCCAAGAGCCCTCCAGGAGCCTCTCAGACAGGCTTGGTGCTGTGATGCCACCCTGGGGAGCCTGTTCCAGTTCTCCTGTGTCAGGCAGAGCTGCAGGGTCTGTCAGGGAATCCAGAACTGGCTCCGGAGTCGGAGCTAAAACCGCCTCCCCTGCAGCTCCGACTCCGGGTCATTCCAGGTTAACTGGTCAGACAGAAATAGCTCTGGAGGCGAGGCCAGGTGCCACGGGAGCCTGGAGTGGGCCAGGATCACCCTGGGAGAGCTACACCCTCTTTACAAGGAGATGACTGAGGGGACAGCCACCTTCCCCCTTGGCTCATACCAGCTACAACCAGGCCCTTCTGCCTCCCGGGCTGGCAACGATCGCTCTCCAAGCAAAACCATCTTTTGTCAAGGTTAACAGAAACCAGCACTCATTTCCCAATTACATGGCTAAATATAACGAGGGATGTGAGCAGCTTTCTTTTTTTCTCTCCCCCCCTCCCCCATTTTTGAGTGACAGCAATATTCTGCCCGTGGAAGACACACAATAAAAGCAAAATTACAGCCGTCTGTTTTTATCCGATTCCTGCTTTATCACTCGCAGTTTAATATATTTTCCTCTGGAATGCTGTCTAATATGCTAGTTGTATCCTGAATATGAAGTAACATTTCTGAATGATCGGATATTGCCTCCCTCTGTGATCCAGCTTCAATTAAGGGATGCTCTCAGGAAATGACACTTTGGGATCAGCAAATGCCAATCTTCTACCTGGGCAATTTTCAAGAAGAAATCCTCCATCCCTCCAAGCCCACATTGACTTTTACAATTAAATTACGTTTAATAGAAATATTTCGGCCGCCTAATTCCTCAATTCTGGGGGGTTGGTACATGAAAACATTTACTGGTTAATACATTCTAAATGTAACAGCTGAAAGAAAATGATTTAAAAAAAAAATAAATAAAAGGGAATGCAGCTAGAAATTAAAAGGGAGCATGGAGCTTTCTTTTCTGATAAGAGCTTGTGACCTCCCTTTCCTGGAATAAAAGCCAGTCACAGCTTCTGCAAACTCCAAACGCAGAAACTAATCCAATCCAGAGCTAACTTGGATTAATTAAGAGAAATAAGCCATAAAGAGAGCAAGGCAGTGGCTGTGAAACATCAGGGATTTCCCCAGAACCCGTCTCTAAACTTTCAGAAAGCACTCAAGCAAACACAAACCCACATGATTTTGGAGCAGGTTTGCTTACTCTGAGAGCAGTCCATGCCTATCCAGCCCGGGAAGCACTGGCAGGAGCCGTCGATGGGATTGCAGGTCCCGTTCTCGGTGCACTGACACACCTCGGCGCAGTCCTTCCCGTACTTCCCGCTGGGACACACTGGAAGCACAAGGCAGGGAAGAAGTCCCAGTTTAACAGAGATAAAATTAATCACAACATTTTTTTTCTCTGATGAAGCTAAAGGGGCAAAAAACTGCTGGAAAGAAGGAAAAGGCAGAAAGTATTCGAGTCCCTTTTTTTTTTTTTTTTTTTGGCTCACAGTCCAATCATAGAAACAACAGGAAAAACTCATCTCAAAATCCTTTTTTATTTTTTTTCTGCTGGAAAATGAAGCCAATATGGTTAGGAGGTTCCAATTATTGAAGGGCAGTATGGAAGGATAAGGAGAGGAGAGACAAAGAGAGGAAAGGGGTTATTGGCAGAGGAGGAGAACAGGGAAGCTGAGGAGAATTCAATGAGCAGCAGCAAACAACACAAGTGAGGGGCTGGAAGGGATTGATCTGGACACTTGGAAAGGGGAAGCAATTAGGTTGCAAATGTGGCTCCCAAGGATTATACATAATGTTTGACTGAGAGCTGTTAAATAGATGTGCTGCATCCAAAAAAATCAGCACCCATCCCTGTGTGCCCACCTGGCTCAGTCCTGAAGCTGGAAGGAAAGAAACTCCAAATTTGTTTTTCCAGAGTCATCCTCTAAGAGCCCAAGCACAGTGACAGAAAACTAATAGACATGTAGATCTTCAGCCTCCCACCAAATTATTGGAAATCTTTAACGTTAAAGTTGATGGAAAGCTCTGCTCGGTAACGAATGAAATGTTTCATTTCTGGGCTCTTATTGGCTGTGTTCCCTGACAAAAACAGATGTATTTTCAAAACAAGATAAAACATACAGTCCATCTTCGCAAAGAGTGTAACAAATGGAACTGGACTTGTATCCTGGTAAATAATAGCGATGTCAAAAAAGTGATTAAGGCACTTCCCTGAATTATGCAGCTGTTTTACCACTTCAGCCTCTCTCACTTTCTCAAGAGTAGTCTCTGCAGGTGACCTCAATCTATCCTGACTGTGAATCAGCTACAGATTGAAATCCTGAGCTGTGATTCATTGGTTTTTATATAATATGCCATCTTCTACTCTTACTACAGCAGAAACTAAGAATGTGCAGAGCGTTGTTTCCTGCCTGCATTTCTATGTACCGTGGACTTATCTGTAGGGGTGGATAAAGTTGGGTTTGGCTTTCAAATTATGTGCTAAACAGAACAGTTCCTAACTGAAAAGAGATAAAACTAAACCCAGTGTACAGCCACAACGTAAAGAACAATACACAGACACAAAGAGGGGAGGGAAGCAAAGCCCTCGAATCACAGGCAGAGCAAAAACTGCAATGATCTGTCAGCCCAGGCTCTTGTGCAGGCCACACCATCAGTCACTTCCAATGCTCCATATCCAGCAGCTCCACGCGCTATTTATGGCGTCTTTAAGACGGAGATAGATAACCTCACCTCGATGATTTTTTATAGGTACCAAAAAAAAAAAAAAAAAAAGTAGTTCTCTAAAGACTTCCTTAGAATAGGAGCTGATTTGTACTGCAACACGGAATACTAATGGATCAGGACGAGGTCTGTGATCCAAACAGAGCTGCTGGCAAAGGCACCGGGTCACACCTGACACAAGCACTGCTGTGCTGCACACGGGGAGAGCTGCTCCTTCCCTGGGAGCACCTCCTGTCCCTGGGAAACGGGACGATGCCCTCTGGAACGTCAACACTGACGGACACAAAATGCTTGTTCCCCCTAATTGAAACAACCCAGCTGGGGGTTGACACCTCAGCTCCCCTGAGGGGACGGGGGATCCAAACACTTTTTTGATGTCTCAAGCAGAGCTGTAAAGCAAGGCCTGGTGCTGCTTTCCTCGGGAGCAATCTGATTGTGCGGCACGGATAGGGATGTTAATTAAGCCCTAAAAGCTCTGAAGTGGGACTCCCAAAGTCCCTGTGGGATGTCAGGGTGTGTTCCAGCAGCGATAACAGCTTCTTATCAATCCATCTTGCTCCATGGCTGTGAAAGATATTCATAAAACAGCTGTTGAGTCATTTGTAGCTCGGAATCCTGTGCAGGTCTGGGGGTTTCACGGCTCCTCACCAGCATGTGCTGCTGGTGGAAGAGTTCTCCTGCTGCCAGAAAGGGGATGGCACCAGGAGATGAAAATTCCAAAGTGAAATCTTCGCTTCCCGTTTTTCTAATGGAAAACATTAATTAACATTTTTCTTTCCACAAAATAAAGTTACACGTTAACTCATTATGACAAACTGCAACACAAATTGATTTTAATTAGGACATGAATATTTTAAAATTAATTTACTGGATAGATCAACATTTCAAAGTAAAACCAGAAGTGCTGAACATCTGAGCAAAAAATAAAATAGTTTTCTTAAGAGGATAATTAGACCTGCTTATGCTTTGAAATCTGGCTAACGTTTCACATAAAACGGACAAATTCACTGAAATGTGTTCATTTTAATAAATTAATTGGTATAATGTTTAGTTGACTATACAGCACAGGGAAAAAAACCAAAAAACACATGGCTATGCTTACTTCATGTTTAATGATTTTGCATAAGCGCTGCCTGCAACTCCTGACTTACTGAAAAGCAGGCCATTAAAAAGCGTCCCTCGGTTTTTGCAGGGCTGGTGACTTCACAAAGGGCAGTCACCTCCTTTAAATACCTGTGTAGGAAAAACCCCCAGCAGGATGCAACCACTGAGACTGCAGAACACTCACTGATCCTGTGGGTATTTTTAGGATAAAACTGACAATGAAACACTGTTAAAAGCGGAGTAACTTCCAAAGGAACAGAGAGGGGACGGACATGTGGGGGCAGCTCCTCTTCACCTGTGAAAATTAACTCCCTTTCTCTGCCTCACTGCAAACTTTTCTGCCTCCTGCACTCGTGTCCACGATTTCAGCTATTCCCAACCAGGTCCTACACAGTGGAAATGAGGTGTAAACAGTAACTGGGTGTTTGGGCTTGTGCACCTGAGCTGGCCTTGCCCTGAACCAGAACCCACAGGTCCTGTTGCAGAGGATCACACGGAGGTGCCATCAACAAATCAACATGCAGGGGAGGAGAGGCTGAGCAGAAAGAAAAATGACCCCATTGGATGCTGATGTATTTACAGCAGGTGTCTCATTCCACAGTCAGCTCAATCCAGCACTGCAGCCCTGGATTTATGAAACCAGGAGCACATCATATTTACAAAAGGGTGACTAAGTACCTATTTGCATTTCCCCTCTGGAGTAAAGAATTTCCTGGGATCCAAACTGCTGAAACAAGGGAAAAAGGCAGGAGCCTTGGGATGGGCCTCGCTGCGAAGCCACAGACACTTAGGAAAGGAGGTGGAACTGGGGGCTCAGTACCTTGGTTGCAGAGAGGGCCGAAGAATCCCGGCAGGCAGTCGCAGTGTCCCGACACGTGGTGACAAGGACCGTTGCTGTGCACGCACTGGGGGCAGGGCTGGCCACAGTGGTGTCCGTAAAAGCCAGGGGGGCAAACTGGAAACAAAACAAAATCAGCTGTCACGGGTTCTCCCAAGTTTTCTCACTGCTGAGAGCTCGAGAATTGTCTGTCTTAATCCCAAACCGTTAGTTCTTAATTTACAAACACTCAGCTTTGTGGAGAGCTGAAAGGATGAAGCCTGTTGGATTGTTCCACGTCTAACAAAGTGCAAGCTCTGAGGGAAACTGTTCAAACATTCCCACCTCATGTAGGTCCCTGGCTGTTTAGTAATACAGTGGAGTTCTCAGCAGCCTCTCTCTCACTCAGGACATTCATTCGAGTCTCTCTAACCTGCTTCAGATAAACTATCTGACAAAACATGGGAGTTAAAGATGTTTGAGCCCTCAGAGCCCACTGCAGATATGGATAATAACACATTCCAAAGCTTTTAAGATAGGAAGAGAAACACACACACAGAGACAACAGAAACTCAGGATACCATTTCCTTTGGAAACTGGGCTGAGAATTCTGAGAAGCTGCATTAGGAAACAGCATTTTATGTCTAAACAACTATGCCAAAAGCTGATTTCCAAACCTACAAGGTGTGATACCTGTGCTCACCTGGGGCAGACAGTTTATATGTGTCATGGCAGGAGCAGCAGCCATCAGTGACGAACAGAATCTGAAGATGGTAATTATGGGAACAGCATATAAAATCACCTGATTTGCATCAGTAATGACACAGGATAGCTGAGGAAACTTGTCATGAACTGTGTGCTTAATTTGCCCAAAACCTGAGATTATTACAGAATTTGTACACAGGGTTAAGAGCCAAGATTACAGCTCAGCATCTCTTCTAAACACAGACTGCTGCTTCTAAGCACATGTAGGGTGAAAACCCATCCACTGTCCAAACATTCACTGCAACAGATAACACAAAGATATGTTAAATTGCAGTAAGTGACTGTAAAAATGGTTTTATGTGTTTTTATTTTTACTCCTGTGACTCTCTGTTCCACAGTTCCGGCTCAGTGGTTACTTTATCACGTCCCTTCTATTTTTCCACCAAATGAGAATTTTTCTCTTGGTCTGTGTGCTCACAGAGGGTGTCAGGCTCTTACACCACTGCACATTTCCAGCTGGAACTTAGCTGACAGGTTTGTTGATATATATTCCAGCCATAAAACACCCTGGATCATTGCTGGAGACATTTCTGCAGGCTTAAGAGCACTAAACCATCCCGGTGTCTCATGTAATCCTGATTACACCGACAGAACAAGCTGGCTGAGAATCATCTTCAGTATCATCTTCAGTGCTGCCCTGCTCAGGCTGAATTCTGCTTCGAAATGAATTTCCAAGAGAAAAATGTGGATGGTTTTGAGAGCAAGCTTAGCAAGCTAAAGCTGCCCTCACCCACAGAGGTGTCCTCCCCGCCAGGAAGGCTCGAGCCTGAATCCCTCAGAGGAGATGGAAAGCAAGCTGAATTCCCATGCCATGTGCTCACAGAGGCATTTCAGCAATGTGAGGCAACAGCAGAGCCATCCACCAGAAGAAAATTTCTCCCCACTAGATCCCCAGCAAACATCCTCAGGGAGCAGCCTGATTACCCGGCTTGCAAACTGGGAACAAGGTTTGCCTCTTGTAGACTCTGTGCCATCAGCTGATAAAACTAAGCTGGATTTTTTTCATCTCAGAAAGGTCAGAAACTATTAACTTCTGGAAGTTTTGCACTCTTAAGGTTTCAAATTCGTGAAACATTTTCTTCCCCAATTCCCCTGAAGCTCCGAGAGCCGCATTTTAGCCTTGGAGAGAGGTTTTACAGCTACACAGATATGCTGAAGCACCTGGAAATTGGGGTTTATAATGGAAATGCTTATAGGCCATTAACTACAGCAGTGCTAGAGGTCATTGTTATAATGGCTTTAAATAAAAACTGTCAGCTACAAATTATTTTTAGAGATGAGTGTGTTCCAGTGTCGAGTGTAACTGGTGAAATCAAAGGGGCTGTACGAACTGGGAATGCAGAATGTCTTACAGGAAGAAGAAGAAGAAGAAAAAGCTGCAGAAAAGAAAGACAAATCCACTTCTTGTTTACACAGGAAGATGGTTGTGTGTAGTTTGGATCAGTGAATTAGGGTCCCTACGGGGCAAATGCAGCTTCCCAGATAAAGCAAATGAGAGGGTTTTTATCTGCTCGGCACATTTTAATGTGGAGCAGCAGAGCATCAGACAGGAGCTATTTCAGGCTGCTGTGTTTCTTTTTCTGGCACCTAAGAAAACACTGCCTCGTTATTTTGACGCCAAGGCTCTTCCACTCGTCGTTACGTGACGGGTCGGGGCTGACTCTGTTCCAAAGGTGTCCTGTGGGTCTCCCTGACTTCACTGCAGATCTGTGTCCTGCCAGGTTTGCCATGGAAAGGTGTTGCTCCTTCCAGGTCACCTGTGACTTGCAGGTGCAGCAGACCAGAAGAAGAAACACGAGGCACGACTCAGTGCAGTGGAGGAGTCTTGACCCCCCCCCACCCAGAAGCATTTTTTAGGCTGTGCTTTGCCCTCAGGGAGCTAAAGCGGCTCAGAAACCAGGGGTTTGTCTGACTGGTGTCACAAAGGAGCATTTCCATCTGCCATCTATAGAAAATCTTACTTCTCTGGCACAAGGGTCCCCTGTATCCCGGGGCACAGTCACAGGTGCCATCCTCTGGGGAGCAGGATCCCCCGTTCTCACAGCTGCACGAGATGGAGCAGTTGGGGCCCCAGCGGCCCTGGGTGCAGATGTTGTCACAGTGGATGCCTAAGGACATAAAGACACACGTTAGGATCCCCACGGCTTACTCTGCTCGCTGATCAAAGAAACTTTTGGCTGGACTGATGCCTCGCAGTCCCTCACAGAGCCAGCGAGGGAGCCTGGGAAGGAAACAGCTCTCCTTTTATCTGCTTAATAAAGTGAAAATTAAGAAAATGCCAGAGAGGTGAGTTCTGTAGGTGTTAGTGGGCTCCTGTTCAGCCCTCAGCACCATTAAAGAAACTCTGCATGTCATCTGAGAGATGAAGGTCAGGAATTGCTTTAAAGTCACAAAATAGCTCAAATAACTGGTCTGGAAATAGGCAGTTGATTGAAGCCTGATTACTTACCTGTTGTGAATTGGAAGACCTAAAAAAGAAAAATCAGGGCTCTGAAAAACATGTTGAAGTGTTTGGATTCTTGAACACAAGTAAATTCAGCTCTGTGCTGTGCTCTTACAGCACTGTGCTCGGGGGTTTTGTGCACGTACCCCACGTCCACCCAGAGCTCTCCAGTTCTGTGGATCAGAACTGAGTTCTGATCCAGCAAGCGGCCATATGTGAGCCCAGGCTGATCATCTGCATGCTAAACGGAGGCTGAGACCTGCCAATCCACCTCCAGTCGTTCCCAGGGTGGTCAATTGATATTTGTTATTACGAAAAGCAAAGCTTGGAAACACCGAAAAAAAGCACGGGGCCAAAAAAATTAACAGGAGACTTCCAGCGTGGCTTTGTGTTAACTGGTGGCTTTTAAAAAACACAACCCTGTGCCGTGGTTTGTCCCAAATAAATGTGATCTGAGGATCTGGTCCCACATCCCAGGGTGGTGCTCCTTTGGGAAAAGGCAGCACCAGCACCTGCAATCAGCAGAGCTATCGGCAGGATCAAGGGCTCCGTGCACGGAGAACCACGTGCAGGATCGTGGAGTGAGAGGGTCGTTGAGCAGTGCCAGCTGCAGGGAGCGGCACAGGCAGGGCAGAGACTGACACCACCAGGAAAAACCAAATCACAGACTGGCCTGGAAAATCCTCCTGCCAAGGAGACCACCCCAGGCTCCTGAGGGGCTGACCCGGCCGGGCTCGAGGCAGCAACGCGTCCTTTATCAGCCACGCACACGGCCCCGCTGCAGGACGGGAGAAAACAGCCAGGCAAAGGGCCAGGGGTTGGATTAGTGCATCTCCAGGGAGAAACACAATCCCAAGTCATTTCCTTGCACCCCTGATAGCTTCATCTGGATGCCACAGGTGACGCGCTGGGATCTGCACAGCCGCCCGGCCTGGAGGATTATTAAATCAGCTCAAAGTCATTATAAACACACTTACAGCGCAGCTTCAAGTTGGTTTTATAAATCTCGGGAGTTAATACGCTAAGAAATACCGCAGAGCCAAAATTTCCCTTTTCTGAAGATTAATCACACAATTATAATGGCCCTTCCTAGAAAATCTTAACCGAGTCTGGCAAAAGTACAGTTTGAAATGTGGTTTCTAGTAATACATGATCATTGCTTTATTTATAAAGAGGCAGGGTCTGTGCTGTAGAGCTTAATAAAAACCACATTAAAATACAGTAAAAACTTAATACAAGCTCAATTCCTTCCCATCTAAGTAAATAAATCTGAAAAGGGGGAGTGCAAAAACAGACAAGGAACATTTGTATTAGTAAAATCAAGAAAAACAATTATTTTAAACAGTCTCCCCTGCTCAGTTTGAAATCAAATATATCCTTGGATTACTTAAACAACAAATGCTTTGTGTGTGCATTTATGTAATGTATCTACAGTGCTCTGTAATTAAAAATTCAGACAATAAATTGTAAATAAATAAATGCATTTTGTATTTATAAATACACGTATATGATTATTTATAGCTTTGAGCGTCTCAGCGTGAGCTCCCAGCAATGAAATTCAGGCACAAATGCAGAAAAATGTGTATTTTTCCTCCCGCTTGCAGCATTAAAATTACAATTCTGTCACTGTGAATGGGCTATTTATAAACTGGGACAATTAAACAGCATTATTTCTTGTCTCTTTTTGACGAAGTTTTCGGGGGGAAAAATGACACTGGCTCCTTTCTCATGGAAGGAACCCGAATTAAAATGCCAGGGCTGTTCCTTGCAGCAGCAAAGTCCTTCCTTCAGTAATGAGTAATGAGGGATGTCTTCCCACTCCTAACGAAGGGAATGAGTCATTGTGGAGCTGATTGTTGTAGAAAAATGTAAAGGGAAGAAAAGGAAACCTTCCAGAAGCCACTGACACCCATTACAGCACTTATTTACTTCCACCTTTCCAGAAGACAACGGGGATGGGGCCGCAACCAGATTTTACTACTTTATATTACTCTGAGTTAATTCTCGTGGAAGATTTCCTTTTTGGAGGCTCCCATACACACACACACTGAATTGTAAATGTAAATGAGAAGTTCAAACTGCACCTGGACACGCATGTCTTATGGACCTGTGCTAGAAAAAGCACCTTAATTTCCCGATTCCCTACCCTGGAAGGGGGAGTCCATCCCTCCCAGCCACTTTACAGTGGCAGCCAGCGAAGCAGGAACCTTCTGGAATGTAAAACTTTCATGTTTACTTTGGGCCCTGCTGATGAACATTTCTGATAAGCAATTAGTTTTCAATTTCCAGGACTATAAAAACTGCTGAAGTTGACACACCTCTGCATTATCTCGCCTTACAACCACAGGTTCCTAATTTATGAACAAAATCCTGGGTTCACAAGCAATGACACAGAAATTAGAAAGACAACTATCAGAAGAAGTCCTTGAAGCTGCAGGAAGCAGTTCTATACATAAACTCCATTGCCTGGATACCAGGGAATTATTTTCCAGCCCGAGGCTGTGGTTCACAATTGCAGACACTGGGATAAAATTACACCTCCAAGACCTCCTTAAAACAACGTTCTGGGGGTGAATTGTAAATGAAATTCACATAACTTATATAAAATTGTAGCTATCCACTGGGTTTGGGCAAAGGGTCTGCACTGGCTGCCAGTGAGGCAGAGCCCAGGGAAGAGCAGAGTCCACTGTGGCTTTCATGCAGCCCCTGACACAGCAGCCACAAACTCTCCCTGTCCCGCTGGGCATTTGGGGTGTTGGGTTTCTGTAACCCCTGGCTGCTCTCCAGTGGGATTTCCTCTGGGCTGCTCTGTAAGTGGCACTTAGCTGGGTGTCCCAGGAGTGGCTTCATTCCCCCTTCCCCACACCAGCCTCCTCTGCCCACACAGTGGGGATGAAAAACCAGCCCTGAAGTGCTGTGAAAACACAACCTGGGCTGAACTGAACCCACCAGAGCAGTCACATCTGCACTGTTCTCAAGGACAGCTCTTCCAAGGTCCTCCTCCTCACAGGAGACACTTTACCACCAGGACAGTTTACCACCAAGTGGCCAAGCAGCTGCTGTCTGGGACATGGGGAGGGTCTGGTGGAACTCCAGCCCAGATTTCCCACAGGAGAAGCCAGTGGGTTGTGCAGGAATGTCCCAGTGTGGAACTGTAAATGGCATCTTGATAAAGGACAGCAGCAGGGAGAGAGGTAGAGGAGGAAAAGAATCCCAGAATGGTTTGGGTTGGAAGGGACCTTAAAGTCCATCTTGTTGCACCCCCTGCCACAGGCAGGGACACCTTCCACCAGCCCAGGTTGCTCCAAGCCCCGTCCAACCTGGCCTTGGACACTTCCAGGGATCCAGGGGCAGCCACAGCTTCTCTGCCCAACCTATGCCAGGGCCTGCCCACCCTCCTAGCCAGGAATTCCTTCCCAGTATCCCATCTAACCCGGCCCTCTGGCAGTGGGAAGCCATTCCCTGTGTCCTGTCCCTGCATCCCTTGTCCCCAGTCCCTCCCCAGCTCTCTTTGGAGCCCCTTTAGGCCCTGCAAGGGGCTCTCAGGTCTCTACAGAGTCCTCTTTTCTCCAGCTCTCCCAGCCTGGCTCCAGAGCAGAGGGGCTCCAGCCCTTGGATCAACTCAGTGTCTGGCTGGTGGAAACCCCTCAAGTGACAAATGTTTTATCCCAATAACATAAATCACATATAACAGCCCAGCTCTGCTGCAGAGTGGCTGGGGGGGGGGGGGTGTCTGGTGCCTCCATGTCACTGGTTTTCATGGAGCAGCTTCCGTTTTTACCAGATGAAGTCGGTTCTTTGTATTAAAATTTACAAGTCAGGCTGGGATGGATTAAGCTAAACATCCACACAACCATCAGGAAAAGGAGCCAGAAAAAAGGGAAAAAACAAACTCCTGCAAGCCATACAACTGGGATGTGAGGCACCTATTGAAGATCTCCTTCATAGGCTGCATTAATAATCTTCAGTGGCTTCACGAAAGTTTGTCAAACTAATGCAGATTTAGTGCTGCCTGGAACTACATCACACCAAGGACTTTGGAGGGTGAAATTCCTGAAAGGCAGACCTAAGCAAAGCTCCCTTTTTTCCCCCCTCTCCAGCTTACTTCTGCAACTGCACCCGTGCCTGGGGATTACGTCTGTGGCTCTTAATAAAGCTGCCATTGTTTCTGTGCTGCGTCTCTGGGTAGTTGGAAACTAATACTCCAAACACAATAGAAGAGCAAAACTGGACGGAATAAATGAGAACCAGTGGCCTATTTTTGACCACTGCTATCCCCCTGACAGCAGCCTCTGCAGCAGTGCCTCTGTGCTGCCCGGCATCTAATTATTTTTTCAGGGACGGAGGGATTTGATAAATTATAGGATGTAACTCCCTTCCCCGCCCCCCCCCATGTGCTTTAATTTTACATCTAGCAGTGTATAACTGTAATTATTTCTCTGAATAAGATCTTCAGCCTTTTTTTTTTTTTTTTTTTCTCTTTCCCCTCAATAGTCCCAATGTAAAGACAGATGCAACATCAATTAGGAATGACAGGAACGATTTCAGCAGACGTTTGAATCCAACACAAACATTGTGCTCTCCTCCACCTGTCTTTCAACATGACATGAAGTCATAATAATCTCTTATTTCTGGCATTTGAATAGCTTTGGAAAGAGCTGCTTT